AGGGCTCTAAGGATAATAAGGACTTGATAAAAACAAAGTTAAGTAACATACCTTCGTTACAATTAGCCAAAGCTTCTCCAAGAGCTGCCCACTCTGTAGAAAACCACACCCTCAGGTGTCCATGCTCGCGTCTCAACCGCTCTGACTCTTCTATCGCCCGTTGCTTGCGATGGAGCGCGAATCCACCCCCTCAGCTCAGCGTTAATTAACGCCTCAGGAAGTTCGCCGTCCTCTGGTAAGCCACCAAGTCCAACCTCCAGCCACAATGCATCGCTGGCGTCGAGGGAGAACACGTCCGATTCGTCTAACTCAAGTGGAGCAAGGGCTTTGGGCGGTGCCTTGCCACTTTTGATGAGTCTTTCTATCTTCTTGACCGAAGTGTTGTAAGTTTTCACTAGTTTTTTCAAACCAGGCTCGCGTTTCTTAATCGCAGCAGCAGCATGCTCGTTCTTCTTTTTCTCTAATTATTGTCAACTTTTGAAGATCATCCAGGAAGAAACCTCGTACCGCTGCTGGAGCGTGACGCGACGTGGGTGGCTCCTTGCATCTGCTCTTATTATAGTCTTTCTCTGCCAGATAAAACAACACAATATCTAACAGACACTCTTCAGATAAATGAAATGAGATGACGAGAAGATATGTTGGGAGTTAGTGAACATATTCTTGAGCTCCCATGACCGCGACGTGACCGGTCTCGTGACCGCGACCCGACGTGGAGGGAGCCACAATCCCAGCTAGGAGGGAGAGGGATTGTTCCACCAGCTTGAAGAAGGCTGAGTGGATAGAGCTCCCAGGGGTATCTACCCAGAGTGGAGAATGCCATAGGGTATAGAGGGAGTCAATGGATTGAACCATACCAATGGCAATATCCATAGCCTTGGTTTTCTTGATGCGGTACTATCCATTGCCCTCTGGATGATTCCATTCCCTTTCTTTTGGCTGAATGGTTCTATCCATCATGCCACTGGGGATGCCTCCACCAGCCCTGCTGGCTCCACCATGGAAACCTCCACCAGCCCTCCACCCCTGGTGATGGAACTGTCCACCAGCCCTCCTGCCAGCATAATGGAACCCTCCACTGATCAACAATGATCATGTGAGGTGTTCAATTTCCTGTTATGGCAGCAGGGCAGATGATGATAGGGACCCGGTCAAGACTTTTGTCAAAGCATCTTGCTCTGTCTGGTTGTGGCTCATGTAGGCTTTAGGTATCAATTTGATAGCTTTGGGTTCGATTCTTACTCAGTGCACTTTTTCCTTTTGCTACTGGTTTCTTGTTCATGCTCCTCCTTCCTAACAACACAGTCCTATGGTCAAGATTATGTAATAAGGCCATTTATTAGCCAGTCAAGTCCATTGGTAGTCATTTCTATAGGAGTTTCTTTTTTTTTTCCAAATAACCAATATATTTAATAAGCTGATACTAGGGCTATCATTAGGCTGTGTTGCTGGCTAGTGGAGGGAATAGGGTCAGGTCCATTGCCCTAGGATTATCTGATGAGACTGCTGACTTATAAGTAAGGCTCCAGTCAAGTTACATTTAATTTTCTGAAGAAGCTATTCATTTAATAAGCTGATACCAGAGCTATCAGCCAATACTAGGGCTATTATTGGGCTCTCTGACTGGCACTTATAGTGCAGTGAACATGGTCAGGCTCATTGCCCTAGGTAGCTACTAGATCATACAAGGTCTATCACTTAGCTAGACTGGCTCAACAATACCATAGTGGCTATGAAACAGGCAGAACCAAAGGCCTGAAAGGGGCGGCTAGGGTGGTAACCTCCACAGTATTGTGACGTGACAGGTGGGGTACCCTCCACCCCCAGTGGCAAAATCCCAGCCAGTGGAAGAGCTCCACTTTCTGGGGCCTCTTAGGTGGAGGGTTTGAGGGGGGTTGATAACCCTAAGAGGTCTAGGTTCAGGGTAGACTGAGGTGAGTAAAATGGGTTTGCCGGACGTGTTGCGAGCAGCAGCTTGTGGAACAAAATTCTTTTCAAGCCATTCACTGCCCAGGACATTATCTGTCCACCCATTCTCCGACATTGATACACTGTACAACTCTTCAGTTTGCAAATTCATACCAGGCAGAATAGACCTACATCACACCCTCCTCCTCAAACCATTCAGGACAGAATTCCTTCCCAGAGAACACAAAACCTGGCTTGAGAGCAGTTCCGTCCGCCGAGACACACTCGATGATAGTTACAAGCTCAAGATTACCACTGCGAAAGCGGTATGAAGTCCGAGCATCCTTATTCTTCGCTAGAAAGTACTTCCGGCTGCTAGCCTTCTTCCCGCCCCCACGCTGCACACCCTTCTCATCCATGTTGTACACATTTTCAATAGGAATGTCATTGTCATCAATGTTCTTCTTCAGCATCTCGAAGTAACGGCCAACGACAGGGCGATTAAAGGCTTGAGCTCGTTTGGGGTCCAGCGCAGCGACTTTGCCTAATGTGATGTTGGGATTGCGGTCCAAAAAATCCCGAAGCCAGGTCTTGCTTGGTACCCGACCAACCATGTTATTGACGATTGAACGGACAGTTGACTTGTCGACTGGATGGCCTGTGGCAGCCAAGAAAATAAGCCAATCAACCAGTGCAGTCATGATGCATTTCAAGTTCGTAGCCTCAACGACAAGGAGTAGAACTCGACTACAACACGCGTACACAACACAAACATAATCTAAGGTCTAAAGAGTGTGCGAGACACGGGCAGTACAGGTGCGTGTCTATGCGTTCAAGTCGCTGGTGTTCGCGTTCTCATCTGTTGCAGGCCCAGCTCTGAGCGTCCAGCCCGTTTCTTCCTCCCTCGGGGCCTCGAGGGCGTGAAAGTAGGCTGTGTCGAGGCCTTGAAGCCTTTAAATTTGTATCACAGAAATTCCGCCAATTTCGGTGGCGTGAAGCGCCGCATGCAGGGCGACTCGAACGAGCAGCTTAAAAGTGGTTGGCACACCCTCAAACGTCAGCATTACGCTGACCACAGCGCGCGTTGCGTTCCGGCACACAATCCGCAACGGGAGGGAATATGGTGGTTGCCACTGGTTGGTCGATATTGGGCACGGCTGCGAACAGCAATGCTGCAAGGGCGAAGTTGCGAGGTTCAGGATGCCTGAAAGGCTTGCCAAATCGTGCGCTGGATGTTGTGTCTCATTGCCATTTTCGGCGCAAAACAGGGCGATGCGCAACAATGGTAGACAAACCGAGTGGGGTTGTCGTGGCCAACATAAAGAGCAACTGCCGTTTTTGTCGACAGAAGATGCCTTGTGACCCGCCGAACAAGACGCTCTGCACACCCCCTGCAACGCCAATGTTAGTGAAGACTTTGGTTATGGTCGCCACATGGTCAGAGTTTCGCGTGAAGGCGGCGATGGACGCAGCCTCCTCGGTGCAGACTGGGTCTTCCGGCGGTCGGCGAATGGTGTGAACCCAAACTTGTTGCTGCGCAATTAGTTTTTGGGCCTTTACCAGAGCTTCGGCCTCGGAAGGGGCGGAGTCCGCAGCAAACCTGTAAGCGCAGTCAACAAGGGTGTGAGATAGCAGCACTGAAATGAGCCGTACCAGTCGCCGGTCGCGGCACTAGTTGTTGCATGCCCTTTGGATTACGCATAGCTACGCTGGGTTTCGAGTTTTCCAACGAGCGGAGCAGCGCAGAGCGGCAATAGCCTCAAGCATCTGCGAGAGCTATCTTCATCGCTGTAGTCGTCAATGAGAGGATTCATGGTGAGTAGCGATTGGGTTTCTGGGGGACATAACGACGTTCCTGTGCCTTTTATACCTTTCGCCACAATGTACACGCGGCCTTCGACGACCTTCGATGGCATTCTGGTGACTCCATGTTGTCAGGGGACGCGCGTCGCGAGGCGATGCCGAATGACTCCGTGTGTGGGTCCGTCGTGGGGCGATGCTTGAACGAACAATTAATGACTGCGTGTGTGTGTGCAGCAGTGTGTTGTTCCCACCTGTCTTGACTCACCGTTTGCGGGCAGACCTTCCTGCAACTCAACGCATTAGTTGTGGCGGAAACGCGGCGTTACGCGTGGCGTCGGGTCGATGTGCCAACTGGAGGATATAGAGCAATAGTATTAAACACCAGAGTATAGTCACGATTTTGAGTCCCAAAACTTGTGCGAAGGGCGTCAACACAATTGGAGTAGGCGAGCAGATCACGCACCGAGAGCAGTTTCAACAACAAGCACTCCTTGGTCACCTGCGCCCTGGCTTGCTGGACTCGAACTGGGCTATAGTCATTCATTGCGAGGACACAATCGTACTCGGCGCGCTACGCCGTGCTGCAGTATACGCGGAAGGCTCAGCATGGCTGACGACTTGAGTTAGTTCATCTCTGGGCAAAGAGGACAACGACGCACCTGCTTTTCGCCTCGCCATCCACACCCACTCCGATTGGGTTGCTTGGCTCAAAACCGCAGGCTATTTTGAGACTCTTCAAGTGAAAAAGCAATAGCGTACCTAGCTATGCTTGCCATGGTAGACGGCCACGCGCCGCCACGGTCCACCTCTCCCGCCCACACTGCTCTCCGCCTCCGTCCTCCTCTTCCGACAGAACCACAGGATAATGTTGACGACGTCACAGTCCAGCATGGGATGCGCAAGCAGGAGGGAAAGGTGGTGGAAAAGAAGCAAGGTCGGGCTGTGATTGATGTGCGGCGCACGGACCAGCGGTGATCGCACTGTCACGTCAAATGCAGCTTGTTCTCAGCCACCATCTGCTGCGCCGACGTCCCGCATGCGCCGCGCGGTCCTGCTAAGTATCGCATCCGACGAGCTGTTGGTGCGCTCTTGCTGACCTTTGTCTCCCGTTGTCCTAGCTAATCTGGTTTTTAGCCAAAACACGTCGTTGGACCCCGACACACCACACACTGGCACTCTTCCGAGTCTTCCCGAAGGCAATGTCGTTCTTCTGGGCGAATCCCCCCCAGGGTCGGGACACGCTGGAAGCGTACATTTTCCAGTAATCCCTCCCTCGTTCACTCTGGTCCTCACTGTTTGTTGTTAGTGAGATCGAGAGCATGAGGATGGCGCGTTCGACGCGTGCCGTGGAAATCCTTGTCGATCAGATCATTTTCCCACGGGCCCAGGAACCGGCAGATATGCGCGGAAGCGAATCGAGTGATGCAGAAAGGAGAACCTTCGCTTGGAGATGTGCTGTGAGACGAGGAGGAGGAGTCGGCGATGAAGGGAGGAGGAGGAACAGCTACCGCGCCGACTGCTGGCCTTGTTGCCTCAGAAGTCGATGTCGCAAGCAAGGCTTCAGCGTGACCGGGTTCACAGCAGCGGTCAAAACCAGCCTTGAGGGATTGCGTCGGCCGTGCCAACGAGCGGGGGCGTTGAATACGCTGGAGCAACTCGAGGCTCACGCGAGAGCCAGAGAAAGAGGGGATTTGGGAAGTCGGCGCACGACGCACGTGCTGCAGCGTTATCGTAAGGGCGCTAAAGCCTACTCAGGAAACCAGGAAGTCGGTGTTGGAGGACCAGGCACCTTGGTCCAAGTCAGATCCAGAATCGATGACGCGGACTACGCACCGGTGACGAGAAGAGCCCGCGCTGAAGGAAGCAGGGCAGCGCATCGAGTCGGGGCCGCCCAACGGAGCGCCTACCCAGCGCTGGTCATCATGGAGAGGAAGACAGAGTGATACGCATCCGTCACGGCGTTACGCCGAGCCGAGAGCCGATCAGCGCTCACACGCTCTCTCAGCGCCTCCACGACGACACCCAGTGCAGCCCGCGCATCCAGCGCGGTACGGGACGGATACGCAGGCGGGCTGGTGTGGGTCTTTGGTAAGCCTATGGCCTTGTTTTCAGCTCCGAGCCACGCTGATTCGACTCGTCCACAGGGCTACTCATAAGGTCTACTGATTTGCGCTACAGTGGGCAATTAAACCTTCTGTATAGTGCGACACGGCCAGCTTGGCGGATGGAAGAGCTCACATGACTCCGGGGAGGATCGTCAGTGACAGGACTCAGTGTGCCCACCGTTGACCAACTGCAGCGTCATCGGCATCGGAAGAGCGTTAGCAGCAAGCGAGCGGGGGTCGATCTCGCGATAGTAAAGTGCGTCTCCCAGCCAAGTCCTTTCCGTCCCCCGTTCTTCGTCGCTGACAAACGCCAGCGTGCCGTGCCATCCCAGTCAGGCCCGATGCGCCATGCTGCCCGCGTCTTATAATGCGGTGGGCATGCTATAAGACGTGTTGCCAACGGTGACTGCTCCCTTCTCGACCGCATGACAGCTCCCACTCGAAAACATGTTGCTTTTTCCAATTTCCGATCACAAGATCACCTACGGGTCGCTTGTTCTCTCCCTTTCTCCTCCCCGCCGTTTCCCCACTGGCATCGCCGCCCTCATTTCCAGCACTAGCTCCAGCGTTTCCAACGTGTTCCGCCTGAACACGTACATACGCTGGCGGCACACTCGGTCTTTCAAACTCTGCGCCGCTGTAGCTTCCTGCCGCCTTTGCACCGTCATCCCAGCCACTTCCAGCCGTCAAAGTTGAATCCCCAACTAGGGTGTCCCAATGCGGCTCTACTGCCATTGCTGTCCGCATGAGGCGCGTTCGACCCCGCGCAGCGACGTGCGATTTGCTGTTTCGGCACTGACTTGTCTTTTTTTGTTCTTACTAGTACCCGCGCTGCATGGGTTCAGTCCGGATCCACATCCCGTCCTCAGTCGGAGTCATGAAAGACAAGAAGGCCACTGGCAATGGCGACTGCGATGAGTCTGGTCGAGGCTGGATTCTGTCAATGGTCATTTAGATGCACAGCCTTGCGCAACTGATGCTGAAGCATGCACGTGCAGTCTAAATGGTCTGTGCGCGTCCTGCGGAAAGTCCCAAGGAATGACGCACTCTTCTTCGCTCTTCGCTTCAGCTACCATGGACGCGCTCCTCGCTGCCATCCTCTCGCAAACATCGCCCAACCTTTCTCCAGCCGGCCTCGCGGCTGTCTGTCTGGCCAATCGACGTCTTCAGCTCGCAACTGAGCCGCATCTGTATCGCAGCGTTGTGTTTGATATGGGCGACGCCAAACGGACCTCGCGGACGATGTCTTTGCTGGCAACGTTAGCTGGGAGCGCAAAGCATGCTGGATTTGTCCGCAAGGTTTATGCGTGCGTCGTTCAACTGCTCTCTCGCGGATAATGTACTTATAAAGTCAATAGGGCCAAATTCGCGGCATCTAGCGAGTTCGTCTTCACAAATATTGACCTCGTCCTTAGTGCCATCGAAAAAATGGTCCGTCTCGAGGTCCTACATTGTACCGACACCTGGGAATTCATGCTCTTCGTCATCACCTCTGGCGTCCATTTCCCTGGACTCCATACCTGTGCCATTCCGTATATCGGTCCCAGCTGCGGTACTTTTGTCGCCCGCCATTCCAACTCTCTGCGCAATTTGAGGATCCACACAAGCGCAGCACATCTCGCCTTGCGTGACACTGGCCAGCCCATACTTCAAGAGCTCTCTCTTCCACGCCTTCAAACTTTTGTCGGCCCGCCAATACTGGCAGAGCTCTGGCTGCGCCAATCCCATACACAGCTCTGCCATGTCATCCTCTCCTGCGACCGCTCAATTGGTCCTCACGTGCCAACAAAACCAGCGCTGCGCTTACTCGAGACCGCCCGATTGGAGTCATGCAGCGTCTTCGTCAGCAGCCTCAACACCAGCTTCTTGCCCGCGCTCGCGGCGCACATGCCCAAGGTCCAATTTGTAACCTTTTTACTCGATAAGACTCCGATTGCGGAGCCCGACTATGATGTGGGTAGTATTTTCTGGTTTATCAGGCTACTCACCGTCTCCACAGCGCTTCCTGTCTTCTGTGCCCGACTCTCTCCCTGCCCTGCACCGCTTGACGTCGCTCGACATCTGCATGTTTCTCACTTCTTACCCTACCAAGGACACCCCGCTTGCATCGCTCAAGCTGCGCATCCTCGGCGAACTAGCTGTCGTCCGTCGTTGGGGCCAACTGTGTCCGTTGCTCGATCACGTTCGTTTGCGCAGCGGCTGGGACTGGGTGCGGGTGCTTCCCGACCGCGGGATGTGGGGGCTCCCCAGTGGGCTCGGATACGACCACCGCTGTGGAGGAATGAATGTTGCAGAGGTCAACGATCTGCTCTTGGTGGACAAGCAGCAAGCTGCGGCGATCTCCCAGCTGCGTAAACGCGGGCCCGGCGCATTTGAGGCCGCGTTGGCAGACATGCAGCGGCGCATCGCAAACGTGGAGCGCATGCGTGCGAGACTGAATGCGTTGCTTAAGTCCTCTGTGTAGTTTTGTTGCTTGAATTCCTTGTTTGAATTGCCAGAAATTTACGGGAGATTTTCGAGGCCCTTGATTTCCAGATTGCTAGAATGTGAAGGCGGTGGTGTACCATCAGGAAAACCCAGATTTCCTAATTGGGAGCTAATTAGAATAACTTAGTGCTAAATTGGATAATATTGCTTTTGCTGCTATTTACTCATAATCCATCATAAAAACTGTTACTTTAGAAGTTATTTAGAGAAGTAGAAAAAACAAAGTTACACAGTTGTTACATAAGCATACTGTCCCATTTCGTTCAATTCAGCGGGCCTGTGACCCGTGACCGTTTGGCCGAAAGGTTCAATTCGGCCGCGGGCCGAATTTTGTGTGACCTCTTACCTAAATAGGAAATTCAGCGCGCTGGAGGCGCGAAAATTTTGAGATTTGTCCGAATTGGGACGGTTTGGGACCAAAAGAATTGGCTGTGACCCGTGACCGGCCGAAATATTTCGGCCAAAAAATCTGATGTGACCGTGACCTGCAGAATTGATTGAAATGGGTCAGTATCTATCTGACCAACAACTGACATAGAACTTGGAGCAATCATTTAACACTGTCTGGCTTGTCCATTCTCTTGGTGCCACAGGACCAAATTGTGGGAAAAGATGGACACTTCGTCGTAGGTCGTTGACAGAAATGATCTGTGCCACACAATCTATGGGTCGAGTAAGCTTGTACATTCCATGAACATCATCTGGCCTGTTCATAAACTTTGAAAAGAACTCCACATATGCAAGATGCTTGGGAGGTTGTTGATTGGGGAAAACGGAAGCCATAGTGCGATCTGATAAGCTAAAGATCAGATGAATACGTGCCACTTGATATCCTATAGAGTAAATTAGTAACTGTATAATCCAGGCAATGATCACAAACCAGAAACCCCAAGATGTTCACCCTTTCCAAGATTTACCAATGCAGTATCAAATCGACCACCAACCAAACACCCACGCTGATCGGTATATGATGGCTTCGCATGAATAACATCCAGAACCTGGAGGCTCATTTCCCATCCAAAAACATCATCGTTCCAGAATTTGACCCTTGTGAAAGGCATTGATTTTTTGAAATGGGAAAATAAAGGTCTCTATCTGAGTCGTAATTTGTCGTTTTGAGAAATCAGGATGATTGAACTGGATTATAAAGGCTGTGAAGGCCTGTCGGAACTGGGTAGCACCATACATGTGCACGACACTATCGATATGAACTCCATTTGCTGATGGAGTTTTGGTGATGTGAAGACATGAATGGCGATTGGGAGGGGAAGGTGGGCCGGACTATCGCCAAGAGATATACTTTTCGTGCCAGAGTATCTTTTCCTTCCGCTCAAGCCAAAGAGTCATTTGAAAATATTCGTCCTTTCGATTCGATGCATGATATGCGTCCTTGGCAAAATCAATGAAGCCGTTCAGTGTACTCGGTGTTGTAGTTATCTGTGGTGCCATAGAGCTTAATTAATGAGCATTGATTCGTGGGAGATGTTGTGAAGCTTTGGAAAGTTAAAGTGCTCGCGAATGCCAAGGTCGATAAAGATAGATTTGTTTGAATGAAAACATCGGAGAGCATCATCAAGCTTATTGAGAGTTTCAGTGGAATGGATAGGATATTGGGACAGATAAAGGAAATCCAGAATTGCGCGGACAGCCCGAATTGGACAGCCCATTCACTCAGATTTGCTCGCAAAACCTGGGCAGTTGCCCACCGCTGTGGCGCGAAAAATTGGGCAGTTGCTCATGACAAAGCATGGAGGTCATTTTGTCACTCATGTTACATTAAACAAAAAGATTATTTTATTAGTATTTCCTTGTTTTAGTAGGTTATCTAATGTCTGCTGATGGCATCAAGATAAATTGATCAATGTGGAACGATTTTTGATGAAGATCAATAATTATATCTATTATATGGTGAACCATCAATTTGACGTTTATTCCAATCAATATCCCTTTTATGGGTCACATAGCCACCCTGATGTTTACCCGGTCTTCGGCCTGAAAAAATGGTGATTCCTTGATTTATTTATGTAGTTAGATTAGTCATATCTTTCAACTTCAAAAAGATATACAAGATATATCAATTGTCACAGAGCATGTCACAATCCTGCTATAGTCTCTCCCAGTTTTTGCGCGCAACACACACGGTGGGCAGTGGCCCAGGTTTTGCTCGCAAAAAATTGGGTGCATGTCCTGAATTAGACGGACTGGAGATTGACCTCCAGGCAGTGGCAAGTCAATAATAAGACCCAGTAGAATCTGAGAGATCTGTCCATGCTCCATCCCAGAGATACGTGACAGGTTTGAGACACCTTTAAGGAATAACCAAACATTATCGTTTGGAGGCAGGCGTCGACACTGTGCATCGATCTCCGCAGGGCCATAAGCGGTCTTGACCCAGTTGAAGACGTGTTTGAGCACACCTTGAAGGAGCTGATGCAGGACATCGGGGGTGATAGACAGGAATATATTGGAGAATGGCAGTTTTTCCCAGAGTGGCTGGAAAATCGGCTTAATCCCCGCTTCTCGACACGCCTTCGTAAACTCGGTGACATCGCCTTCTGCCTTCGCTAGTGAAGCCAATACGGCCTCAAGGTCCCGTGGTTCATAAAGTGCTGTCAGGTCCCCAAGCTCATCAGTCGGAGAGGGACAGACACAACATTCGCCATTTTGGACTCCGGTCACCAAGCATTGTTCGGGATAATCGCCTGCAAAGATGGCAAAAAGGGGATGGCCACGATGAAGTTTACCGTGTCCAGTCCGCATCTCAATACCCTCTAGACCAGCATTCTCAAGCGGTGCCAGTATCTTGCGAAGATACGCATGGTACAGGTTTGCCAGCGCGCGACGACAGGCAGCAGCAACCTTGATGTGCTCGAGATGAGTTGTGGGAAGGTAACCAAGGAGAATATATGCTTGTCGAGAGGGCTTTCGACGAATGTCCTTGGGAATATTGCCAATCTGTAAGGGCAACCTCGCGAGGCTCGAAATCAGAGTCCTGAGCAGAGGGGGAATCCTTAGTGAACTACTACAACAGGAAGGGACGCTACAGACTCACCTGAGCAGAGGGGGAATCCTTAGAGAACAAGCCAAGGAGCCCTCTGCCCAGGTGCACTACTATATACCAGTGACCGGAGTAATGATAGAGTGACTGCATAGCGACGGATGACGGATGGGAGAAGTCAGGCATCGCTAATGGACCCTAGGTGAGTGTCGAGTAGCCCTTGAAGCTCCGGAGAGGCAGGTTTGGGACCGTGATGCCAAGGGAGGGGCCCAGGCATCCCTAGAAGGCCTAAGAAGGGCTTCGGGAGGTCCAGGCTGCCTCTGGGCGTCTCCGCTTGTGACCGTGACCGTGACAACCGGAATCGGAATCGGAATCGGAATCGACTCCGGTGTGTGACCGTGACGTGACGGCCGTAAACGGAGAGGGAAGGCGTGGAGCGGAAAGGGAAGGAGTCTGGTCCAGCCCAAGGGCCGGGGAGTGTCGAAGAGGACCAATGGGAATGGCGGCCAGCCATGACCACTGGAGGGTAGCGACAGGGGTCACTCGGAGACGTCCCCGGACGTCTCCAGAGAGGTGGAGATGTGAGGGCGTGCAGCCTGGGGCGCTGCAGTAGGCACGAGCCTTAACGGCAGTAGGCCTCACCCAGGGGAAGGCCCGATGACGGGGGCCGTGGTGGCGGAGTGGAGAGCGGAGCCATGGCAAGGCTCAGCCATCCGAACATAAGCCCGAACGCTGACATGGGTTGGGGACACCCAAGAGGTCCAGCAGGTAGAGATCGTAGGGAGACCTTGATAAGTGACAGCCCAGAGAGGCTAGAAGGCCATAGGCTCAAGGTCTCGGAGGGAAGTGGTGCGTCCACATCCGGAGAGGTCTCCGATGGCATTAGTGATCCCTGATAGTGACTCCGCCGGGGCGGAGAGACACCCGGAAAGGGGTGGCCAGGGAAGTCGAAGACTGGGGATCACTGGATGTGGGATGTGGTGCGGGCAGTGGAGGGAGAGCGTCAGGGTGCGGAGACGCGGAGACACGAGCGGAGGCGCGGAGACGCGAGCGGAGACGCGGCGCTTGATGGGATCAAGTGACGGCATCGGGGTTTCCCCTGACACAATCGTGGGATATATTGGATAGGCAGCCTTGTTGCGGAACATCGTTTTCTGCGTCTTATCTGTTGAGATAATGATCGGTATTATGGTCGCCCCTGGCTTGAGTTTCTCGAGCGCCCGCTGAGCGTCACTGTTAGATAACTACCATGACAAGAACTTGACAACACATACCTGAGTGCTCCACCACCATTTGCCCGTATGCATATCATAGTAGATATGGTCTATCATCTTGTTGTCCGAATAGTGTTTTTCGGGAGACAGGAGAAGTGTCACGGTTCGGGTCGGGCCGACGGGCCCTATACGGCCCATCGGGCCCTCACCACCCTTAGAGCCCTAGGGCTTGACAAGCCCTCATAATTCACAAGCAACAACACTAATATCCTAGAGAAGGGACATAATCACGGATCGCGCTTTATTCAGCCATCAAGCCATCATGACCCGCTATCAGGGATCATGATGCGCCGCCGGACGCCCTTGACAGCGGGCCCAATTGGCCCTAGACAACCACAGGGTCCAGAAGAGAGCTCCTTACTGTTGCATTGTCAAACACTCCTTAGTGTCGACATTGGCATGGCTCCTTTCCAGAGGAATGGTCCCTGGGCTCCTAGCGGTGTGGAAGTGCCGTTTGGCTTCCACGTCGCATCCGCGGTCACGCGCATATCACGCGTCGTGCATCTCGGGCGTTAACAGCCATCATTTTCTCCACCAACCTCCTCATCTCAACCTTTTTCCATTTTTCTCTCAACTCCCCCTCTTATCTCATCATATCAGAAGCTTCTTCTGTGCCTGCGCTTGACGACTCGGCGGGACTGGGGTGGAACAAGCTCAGGCTTGGTCAACCTGATGCTAACGCTGTTGGCGGCAGCGAGTACACCCTATTCGACTTGTCCTAAGCCCGGTTGTCAGGTTGCAGTGTGGACGGAGTGGACGATCACCTACATATGGACTCAGTACTTATTTCATTTTTTTTTGTATTACCCCTTCCGATCGCGGGCAACGTTTCAGCGCGGATAGGAGAGAATCTTATCTTGCTTGCTTCCTCCCCTCATCTGCGAGTCCTGAGCCAGCGTGAGCGAAAGCGCCACTCCGAGTTCGAGTCAACTTTTATTCCACCGAGCTAAGTACACGATCATCTTCACCACCGACTACGGACTTGTTGCCTTCAGCAGGGGTAGGACACTCTAGGCGACTACGCGTATCCCGTGACACCGCCGTCACCCGATGTGACAGCGGGGCGTCCCGAGCCGCCCTGAGTCGTCCCTACCCTGCTTCCTATTGCAGAGGTACCACCTCCTCTGTCTGGTTGCCAACTACCTGGGTATGGGGGTTGAACCATCTTCCCCACACTTGTCAGACTGGCAGGAGACCGTCACGTGGGCCCGGCCGGCCCCCTTCCTGACAAGAAGATGGTTTGCAAAGTCTGGATCACCAAAGAGGGAGTGGATACAGGGAACAATAGGACGGAAGAACACATCGAAGGCTTCACCCCCACTGACAATTTCATGGCGCTCGCTCAAAGATCGGACGGCCGCTGGGCAAGCTTTGGTCGATAACCTGATTCAATTCACGAGAGGTATGATATGATAACCCTAACACATCGACGACCTATGCAAACATCAATTGGAAGTCTATAAATGCAAGGAGGGGCACATACACCATCAATCTTGAGCAAGTCAGTGAGCACCGTGGAGGTTGAGCTGCGTAGTTTTGCCCACCGAGCAATCTCCCAATCATAATTGTGCCGAGCAGTTTCGGGCCTTTGTCGATCGTCAGACGACTGAAGTAAAAAAAAAAATAACGTGGATCTTGCGTGGATCCGCACCTTCTCTTCTCTCCTCTCTAATCTTTCCTCCCTCGCCACTCGTTTCTTCATCTCACATTCGTTGCTTGTTCTCCCTCCTCTGAGTTCACCGCCTCTTTGGCCATTATGGCACACTCCGGTGGCCAAAGTAAGGTGCTCAAGCCAAAGCCTTCGCCACAAAGTAAGCCGTCACAGAACTTGTCGTTCAGGGCCGCTGATAAGCCGCAGTCTGGGACAGACCAGGAAACGACTATTTTTGTCGATTTTGTTGCTCACACCGCCGGCATTTCATAGCCTCCCGGAATTCCGGGAGGCTACGGGCACCACGAGTGGAATGGGGCAGAGGCTGGCAGCCTTGCGCACCTCGGAACAACTCTTTGAGAGTTAAGTTACCGTGTGACAGCCGCAAAGTTACCGTGCTGACCACACGTGTCGGCTTGCGGTTTGCTCATTCTTTGTTCAACCACAAAGACGAAGGGCTGAAAGAGACAATCTGATATCATTCAGATTGTCTCTTTCAGCCCTTTCTTTGTCTTACACTCAACTTTCATGGCCCGCTCAGCTGCGAAGAGTTCTGGGAAGAAGACAGCTTCGTTTAAGGCTAGCAGGGCGCCACACTCTCATCGACACACAGAGTCTTCGCGTTCTCAAGCTGGGTCTTCTGGGTCATCTGCACACAAAGATGCTGGTCAAACCTCAACCAGCACAGCGATGGAGCAAGACCCAGTCCCAGGGCCAGGGCCAAGTTCAGGCTCCTCGGCACCTTCGAGCCGCAAACGCACACGCGATGACATGGAGCCGGAGGGTGGGCCCGAGGGGCGGGAAGGGGAAGGGTCGCCGACGCCACAAGCGCCGGGCGCAAGCGGCAAAAGACGGCTGAGGAGATTGAGGAGGAGGAGAAAGAGGCAGCCCGGAACGGCGAAAGAAACGTTCGCATCCTGAGCGTATTGCAGATGAAGACTTGAACCTGTCGCAGCGGTCAATCCAAGTGCGTCCCCAATATATGTCTGTTTTCCTATGCTTAATTGCCAATAGCGTGGACTGAATACCCTTCTACATATCCTCCTCGGCATGAAATCCGCGATGGACGTGCCTGACGGTCCATCCTCTGCTGAGCGTGCCGACTTCCGACGCCGCTTCAGTTCTCCCGAGGACTGGGAGGATCAGTTGAAGACAATTAGTGGGACGAACAAGCGCCTGATGACGACTCACGCGAGCTTCTCAAAGCATGCCGAACTGGGGAAAATCGCAAGATGGGAATCAGTCAGGCTATCGTCAAGGTCCCTCGTGCCCAACTACAAGTGATCCTGGGCATGTATTATAACTCGGGTCTCAAGCGCTTTGCCCCGACTACGACGACGACTCCAACAGTATATACAACACCTTCCACCAAGACCTTGCCATCGAGATCTTCCAACGGTTGCTGTTCGCGCCGCATTTTGGCGAGGCAGTATTGACCTCACTTCCTTGTCGGATTCTGAGTTCCTTGGGCGCCTCTATCGCCACTACTTCTGGCATGTGATCAAGCGCAACGCTGGGGCCAAGGAGAAGGGAGGGCTAGAACGAGATCGAGATATCCGGAATGCAAAGAATCGGCGTAAAGATGTGAGCACATTCATTTCCCTTAGTTGGCCTTTCTCATTCTTGCTTCTCAGAATGCGCAACGCCGCACCCAAGCAATACTTGATGATGGGTGGGGCGAGACAGTAGCCAATATGGCCCTTGAGCCCTGTGCGCATAGCGACGACGAGCTTATCGATGGCGAATACATTATAAATCCACGCGAAGAACGGAGTGACAACGCTACCGACTTTTCCGCTACCACGACCAGGACCATATGAAGCTTATGTCGGCAACCAACAACGGCTATAGCCTCCGTACCCGAAAGCTTCCGGAAATGGCTGACCCCAACTACAAAGGCCTGCTCAGGCATGAACGGCTTCCGCGCAACGTTCCGATTGACTACTTCAAGCCCGAGTTCTACAACACACTCCCTGCTCGACTTCGTGCGCACTACTACCAGAATGGTGTCGCTCTTCCTCATCGCCCCATTGGACCAATGGTCGTGTCCCAGCATCATTCAAGGAATTAGACGACGAGGAGTGGGAGGAGTTTGAGGATGAGGTTCTGGGGGACTATAATGTGCCAACCAATTTGGAGATGAACTTGGACGATCTTTTTGATGATCCACAGTTCAACGCCAAGGAGGAGGGGGATAGTGACAGTGAGGAAGATGGTGAGGAAGATGACTAGATCTGGTAAAGTCTGATAGAATATGCAATGTTTTTTTTTCTGTTCATTACTATATACTTCTGTAATTCTTGGTATTGATGATAGATGACTTTTCGTATATGACAAATTATAATCTTGTGTTTAGAGCCATAAAGGTAGTACTTAAGTAAGCAGCAAACATGGTATATATGATGAGATGATTATATAAAGTTATTTTGAACAGTTGACTAACCTTAGATTGCCATGCAGAACAAGGAATCATTGTCTTATTCGGAATCCAAAAAAGGAAATTTAAATCAGACAGAGCCTGAAACCTGGTGGGACATTGGGGGTATAATTTTCATATACTAGAGATTCAAGGTTGATATGGATATGTGTTGTTGGTATATGGTTAAGCTTAGAAGTTCATGCCAACTGAGATATTCTTTTCTGAACAATAAATTTGCATATATGGACATATAGTTAAGGGCTCAAATGATATCACATAGTTAGATTATGCCTAGTAGGAGCTAAATTGCCTGTCAAACTGGATCTACCATGTATTATTACAATGCATTGCACAATACGCGTCCGAGGAGACATTTAACATGATTCTGTTGCATATGTGCCGGTGTACAATAGCTACATGCTTCAAGTGACTATGCACACATCACGCCACTTGGCAACATCGTAGTACAACCCAATCTCTAATCTCTCATCCTCTGGACTGATCTCAGCAAATAACACATCCTCCACAAGTTCAATCAGCTCAATGGCACGGGCAATATACGCATCCTCATCGCACGTCTCAACAAGCACACAAGCCTCAAAGGAAAACTGGACTGCACCGTCCAAGCTCACATCGGTGACCAGCTGGGCCCGTGCGAGCAGGCACTGCGCAAGGAGCTCCGCTTTGAACTGGAAGTACGACACCACACTAAGCTTCCGAAGCATAGGCACCAATGCCATGTCGTCGCGCAACGTCGCAAACACAGTGTCGTTGAGCACCACGGGATTCTTTCCGCCGCAGAGCTCGACGTCCTCCACCCAGAGTTCACCGAGGCGTGGCACAGCATGCAAGGCGGCCAGCAGTGCGACGGGCGGAATGGCGATGTTGCACAGTTGAAGTGTCGTGAGGTTTTCGGCGTGGCTGGCGAGCTTTCGAAAGCCCTTAGCGTCCCACGGTGCTGCAGGCAGCCCCGCGTCGGCAATTGCAAATTTCAGTGTGCGCAGATTTGGCAGCACAAGCCGGCCGAAGAGCTTTCCTAGGAGAGTGGTCTTGGAATGGGAATACAGATGAAGGCGAGCGGGGTTATCGTTTACTACCACGAGCCTTGAGATATCAGAGTGGAGAGCACCGCCGCTGTCCGGCCACCCATGAAATGTCTTTATTGCACCATACATTGTGATGGTACACGATGCGGGGCATTGTTCCAAGAAGGAGAGCGCATTGGAACTTGCAGTCGAGTCCGTAAAAGTGACCCTAATATCACGGAGCTGCTGCCACGGAAGCTGCGGCGGCCCTAAGTTGCTGCCGATATCGAAGATCACCCTGTTCAGGACCGGGGCACTCCGAAGGACATCCCATTGCGAAATAAAATGGTTGTCGTAGGCACTGAACTTTATTTCGACGCTTTCCAAGCGATGAAGCCGGCCCCGTGCTTCTTCAAGGGCCCCGAAGTCGCTGTGATTTCCTATCAGCACAAGGGATCGCCAGCGGGTAGAGTGCATGCATAGGACTTGTAGCGTGTGGCGCTGTGGCGGCCATGCAGGGAAATGGAGCTTCGCCACAACATCGAGCGACAGCTCGTCTCCAGCACGAGCCACAGTGAGGCGCACAAACTCCGCCACAAGCAAATCATATTGAGGTTTCAGTCCCATGATCTCGATATTCGCCCAGATGTGGGGGGCCCCGAAGATGAGCCTCTGCCAATACAAGCAGACGGTGGAGAGGAGCACCCAGCCCTGTTTTGCAGCCCGGAATAACATCAGCCTGTCCTCCGAGTCCATGGCAAGTGGCGGTCCAGCAAAGCGTGCTGCAGCGCCCCGGTCCGTGTCGATGTCAAGGTGGGGTTGTGCATTTACTGGAATATCGCTGACGCAGTCTTTGAGGATGGGCAACAGCAGTTCAGGCGGAAGCTGACGGATGGGGGAAAAGATGCTGGCGCAGGCCTGGGCATAGCGCTGGAGTTGACGTTGTTCGTTGCGCAACCGCGTTAGGATCGACTGCACCTCCGCGATTGTCGCCTCGTACTTCAGCAAGTCCGGAGTAGCCTTCGCGGGAAAGCTTCTGATCTCGTTTAGCCCTGAAGACAGTGTGGAGCGGTTCCGGAGTAAGGCGAAGATGTGCTCGCATTCCACCGAGGTAGGAAGGAGCCTTGAGGAGAAGAAGTGGTCGCTTGAAGGTGGATACGATTCGGAGGCCATGGCTCAAGACAAGAGAAGGCGAATTTGCCGCATGTACTCCATGTGCCAGTGCGCATGTGCACTGGCACCAGCCACGTTGAGGGAAGATGTGGTCGCCACGAACCGATCCGATCGCCCAATAGAGCCTGTCCCTCAAAGCCGGCCACACGGATAGATGGTGAGGCGCAGTAACGGCAGCTGGTCGAGCAAGCTAGATAGCAACGTTAAGGCACATGAGCGGTCATGCATATGCTGTATTCCACGCACCAGTCCGATCAGCGTCATTATCACTGCATCGTATCCGGAAATGCCATCCTTCTATCCTTTGGCGCCAGAGTGGAGCTCCTTGATCCTCCTCGAAGTCGCCGAATGCACCGCATACACAGCGCTCACGCGCAGGTCGTCGTGGAGCGGAAGAACCGGTGATATGCATCCGTCACGGTGTTACGCCGAGCCGAGAGCCGATCAGCGCTCACACGCTCTCGCAGCGCCTCCACGACGACGCGCAATGCAGCGCGCGCATCCAGCGCGGTACTGGACCGATGCTCAAGCGGTCTGGCACGGGGCTTTGGTGCGTGTATAGCCTTGTTTCCATCTACAATCCGGGCTCATTCATGAGAAGATTGCGCCAACGCCAAAGGTGGAATCAGCAGGTCGAGATCATGGGCAAGGTGTGGCGCGCGGCGGGAGATTCGGTGGAAGAGACCATTGGGATAGTAAGGTGCGTAGTGGTCTCTTTCCGCTGGGTGAGGTCCACTTATCTTCGCCAAAGTGAACGACAAAACAAGCCAGATTTTCGCCTGGCACGCTATTCGGCACGACCCAACTTTCTGTGCCACGCGGCATAGCCAACAGATCTTAGCTTGACGGAGAGATGGGCACAGAGGGCCCTGTGTGTGCCCGCTGCTGCGTACTAACGACACTGACCGCAGCGTCATAGGCAATCGAAGGGCGTTTGCGGCAAGCGGACCCAGCGGAAGCTGGCAGTCAAACTACGCGAGCACGTTGTGGTGTTTGGACAGCTCTGGGTCTCCTCACGACTTCCCATGCATATGTACAACTCCGCAACGTCACGACTCACGAGAAGCCACTGCCAGGAGAGAAGCCAAAGGGCAGGTGCGCATGATTATCTGCCTCCGATCTGAGTGCTGACTGACGTTCTCTGCTGGCTATGCACAGCGCACTGGCAGAGCTCGAATCTTGCCCATATGGCGTGGTCGCGGCAGTACTAGGGGTAGCTAGCGGCGGGGGACTTTCCCACCGCGGCCTGCACCTCCACATGACGACTCGAATAACGGCTGCCAGCATGACGAACCAGTGGATCGTCATGTTTCTTGCTCGGGGCTTTTCACTCACTCGTCTACCTAGATTGGTATCGCTATCCCGCTCTCGATCCTTTTTGCTGCTCTCTTGGTCTTTTCTACTGGTTCACGCTGTGCATAAGTTTCTTGCGAGAGTGCTATATAGCCTCTCCTCCTTGTGCACGTCCGCTCCGCTTACAACTAGCTCCTAGTTTTCCTTCCTACACGGCGCGGCTAGCGAGCCCGCCGTATAATAGGAAGGGCTGTGCAGTCTTCCAGCAATCGATCTGGCTTGTGTTCACGCAATACTAAGAAGAACTGCGTCTATTGAAGTTAGGAAGTCATAGGTTCAAGTTGTAGGTGAGACCTTCGCTACGCGCTAGTATTGGAATATATCAAGCAACTTCTTCGGCCACCTGTCAGCACTATCGATGAATGCCTGCTGAATTTGCAATAGCTCTGCTGCCATGCCCCCTTCTCGACGTGTGAGGCGCCGCGTCAAACGCGCTGCCATGTCGCCAAGGAATGACATGTTCATGCGCAGCGGGATGAGGATAGCCATGGTGCGTTCCGGGCCAATCGACACACTGATCACATATAGCAGAAGGCGCCCACGGCTCCGCCGCGCACGGTCACGCCACACATCCAGATCCGGGTTGTCCTGCAGTAGTTTGGCGTGCGACTCCGGGTCACGCATGGACCACGTCCACACGTTCAGCAGGAGAGGCAGCCCGAACATCGGCGGAACTCAGATGCATCCTTGATTAGACCACAAATTGGATTATCACATGCACGATAATGGTCGTGGCCATAGAACTGGTTGACCTCTGCAGGCATTTCACACCGGAGGAAAATCTTGTGGTGGTCTCCAACAAGCCCCGTCATCTTCGTCCACATGGGCCCAAGGGTTGACGTTTTTATAAGCTGGAACAGCGGCTTTTGAGCAGTCTCAGCCTCCAGGACTTCTATGCTAATAGCAAGCGCAGGGAGCACACTCCGGTGGAGCAACGCAGCGGGAATCAGCAGTGAGAATATGTTGGAAAATGCAGCGAGAATGGCATCATCGGGCAGAAGGCGCACGCACGGAAGCACATGCCGTAGGAGGTCCTGCCTCAGCGCATAGCGAATCACACGTGGATGGGTGCGCATCATGATATCGACCACTTCCAGCATCAGGCGCACCGTCTCTGCCCACAGAGCATGATGGACGTCCGGGTGTGGTGGTTGGACCCCATACAAGATGGTCAGCATAGGGAGAAGATCGCCCGCCAGACGGCACGAGTATAGTTCGTCTGCGGTCGTGTGACTTGCCAGGTTGATGAGTGCAGGTGGTGATTCCGGTTCCGATGTCATTGCTGAGAGAACATGCAGCATCTTGAATAGGCCCAGGGGATAAAATAGGGCTATCAATGTCGCGGGGTTGCCCAGCGGTAGTATAGACCGGACAACGCGGAGATGAGCCTTGAGAAATGTGAACAGACCCTTCAAACTCCCATCGATGCTGTTGATGATTTCCGATAGATGGCCGCGGTCGGCATTCTGGGGCAGAAGCTGAACACAGGTGGTGATGGGTTCGAGAGCGGGATGCCCTTTGACATGTGCAAGCTCGGACATGAACAGCATCCATGCCTGCATAACAAGATGCAGCCATCGGGGTGTCGAAGAGAAACTGCTCGTGCCTGGTTTCCCACGACTGGAAAGGCCCACTCTGGGGGTCACGAGAGTGTAATGAGTTCATGAAGCGTATGAAGCCATGAAGGAGCTCGGCGCGAAGCTGGGTGGCGCTTATTTGTGTGCCAACATTGTCATTGATGGGGATGTCGAGAGAAGCATGGAAGGTGCTGAAGAAGTCGTACCAAGGAACAACGACTTGAACTAGGTCCATCATGATGCCGTTCGGGTCCTCTGTCTTGTTAAAGGATAATTGCACAAGTGCTCGCCAGACCCGACGCACACAGGCCATTGCAAGAGGGTATCCAGCTGCGCCAGTCTCCAGCGCCACTGGCGAAGGAATTCGAGCGGGATCAAAGACGTATAAGAGCACAGGAAGTAGTGTGGAGCGTACTGTAGGGCTTGCTTCTGTCCATACGCGGAGAAATCGATTGAAATCAGGGACGGAGCACGTCGGAGAGCAGGCCGCCAGAGCGATTTGCTACGGGTTTTGGGCTAGTTGTAAGCACTTGTTGAAGGATGATAACTTACTTTGCACCATGGCGGCACTTGTTCAAGGGTGGGCCTCTGTGGAATCTGACTCATGAGCGTCAAGAGCAAGAAGCGGAATGTCAATCACATATTACGTGGGCTGCACGTGGACCTGTGTCACGAGGCCTCGTGACAGATACGAATAACTCCTAGCGGGAAAAAAATTCGTACGACATATACAGAATCACAAGGCAACTGAGTCCATCTAGCGACACGAATCCAAGCGGCATCACGTTCGTTGCAGCATGGCACGTCTCCCTCCGAGTCGACGCAGCGGCCCTGGCCTGCTTGCTCGTCGCGCAGGTCAGTATAAACTGGGCCGATCGCGGGCAGTTGAAGCGTTGGTCATGTTTTCCAAGCTAGGATCTCCCCAAGTCGCATGCTCCGCGAACCATCCATCACGACCAGTCCGTTCCCGCTTTGGCGGTACCTTGGCCCCGCTATGTGCCTCGCCGCGCGGCGCGCAGCTCAAAGCTCGTATCGAGTCGGAGATGGAGAATTGGAGGCGATGCTAGCATCAGCCATTGACCAGATCATTCGGAGCTCGGGGACATACGGCGACCCCCAACATGCCATTTACTCGCACACACCGAACGAAACGGCGACGACTGACGTTGACAGCGACCACGAGCCGCTCCTATTACGTCGAGAGGACTCGACGGCCCCGTCCCATTCCTCCTTCGACTGCAAGCAACGACGGCGCTGAGAAGCAGCAACGCGATTCTCTCCTGCCTCGACATGTCCCGCGACACTACCCACTCAGCGGAGATTCGCAGGGTGTCCATCGAGTCCAAGTGGTGGCGCGAGTCCGCGTGTCGGCTTGTCGCAAGGGTGGCGGATAGAGTCTACGAGCCGCACAACGATTGGCCGTGGCGCTTGCTCCGCGATTTGATGACGTAGGCATGGTGTTCTTTGGGCTGCCGACGAGACACGGCAAGGATGGGAGCACTGGGTGGTGAGGGAAGCAGCGGCTGTCGCGATAGAGAAGTTCAGGGAGTGGAATCCGAGCCTACCAGCGGGGGATTTGAGGTGAAGCAGTTGACATCGCGTAGATATGGCGTTCGGCGCACTGCGGGGGTAGTGGAGAAAAGAGTACCAGCAGTCCATGGGACAATCGCCAGTTCCATGCAAGCCGCGCTCGGTCGGCCAATGTGTCCACCTTCTTGTTGTTGAGAATGCGAACAGGAAGAAGCGCTGAGCACGCACCTTGATCTTTTTCCCACTACCACCCACGGAGTTCTTTTGCGCCCCAGATCGTACGGGGCATACCTCTGGTTCCGCTTCCATCCTGGCGCCAACGCCTCTGCACCCCTCCCCGTCGAAAGCACTGCGGTTGGAACACTGGCTCTTGGTGAGCTAACGAGTGGAAGCTGCCAGCGTGGGGATATGAGCGGGGGACTAGAGCGACGCACCAGCAGTTAGAAGATGCGGAAGGAAGCATGGCCCCTCGAGGCTGCTTATACACAGCGCTCACGCGCCCGTCGTCGTGGAGCGGAAGAACGGGTGATACGCATCCGTCACGGTGTTACGCTGAGCCGAGAGCCGATCAGCACTCACACGCTTGCTCAGCGCCTCCACGACGACGTGCAGTGCAGCGCGCATCCAGCGCAGTACTCCACGGAGCCTCGAGCGCGTTGCCCTGGGTCTTTGGTAAGCCTATGGCCTTGTTTTAATCCAGAGGCCAAGCTGATTCGCTGGAAGATTGCGCCAAACTTGGATTTGGCTGGGGATGGAAGACAAGAGCGGGTGGCGATATCCACGGAGGCTAGCCAATACGTGAATGCAGGTGCGTGGCTCACTGTCCTTGCATTTTCTGAGCATTCACCCGCCGACCTGCAGCAAGTCGCCGTGATGATGAGAACGCGAAAAACGACAACTTGAACGACGAACAGCTGTGACTGCCAATGCCCTCTCTGAACCAATTGCTTGCGACACCTGTCCCCCAGCGCTAAATCCTATGCGCGTGGCTTGAAAGCTCCTTTGCCTACTATCACTTGCAGACATGACGGCTGGAACATGCAGCGGTGAGGCCTCGACGCTAACTGCCAGTGTATAGCACCGCTGACTAACGCGAAAACCAGAGGCTTTGGTAGAACAAATGTGTCTTTCTCCTCTGTCGTTCTTTGGTCTGACGGGAGCCAGTACAGCAACTGACAAGCAACGATGTTGGCACCATCCCCCCTGCGATCTCCCTCCAAGAACGTTTCATCAGCAAAACTACATTTCACTGGGCTTGACGATCCGCTCTTCTGAACCGCTGATCTCGAGTGTCGAACTTGTGATGTCCATTTCCCATTGCAGCCGACTTGTTTCGCATCTAATGCCCGACATTATACGTGCGCGGACTCACGCTGGTGCTCCTGCAGGTGTTCACGGGCAGCGCTTAATGTCGTTCTGCGTTGACGAGTAAGATAATGACATATGGCCATGCGTTCGCTCGTTATTAGACAAATCAGGATCAATTATATTCATTCGAAAAGTGCAATTAAACCTTGGAGGAAGTCTCATAGAAGGGTGCATGAAACGAGAGATAAAGTGTGACCCATCACTGCCTCTACTTCTTGCAAGCGCTTGTGCCACGTGGCGTCACCAGCAACATCTCTCTCGTCGTCAGACTCCGAGTTGGACTTGTGCTTGCCGACCTCCGAGTCCGTACCAATCCGCCACGTCCCATCAATTTTGTCCGGGTTGAGCCATGTGCCCATGTGTGCCGCCCAACTCCAGTATTTACTGAGCCTGACGTAGATCAGAGTCGGGCAGCACTTTGCCCAGCGGCGGAGATGCGTGATCTCTGAAGTAGTGCCCTCCGAGTCCGCAAGTTGGTTCGTCTCCGCAGCGTGACGGCCCGAGCTTGGCAGCTGCAGCGTCGACAAGCTGGTCAGTTGCGCAAGGAAGGGGTCGATCGACAGCAGGAAGGCCTGTGACAGCTCAGCAATTTCAATTGGGGGCAGGGTAGTACTGTACCTCGTACGCCTCCACACCACCATCTCCATTGGTAAACACAGTGAGCATATTGATGCCTGGCGCATGGGCAGCAAGAGCGGCAAATGGCGCACTGGCCGCGTCCCACCCGTCCACGAAGAAGGCGCATGATGTGAGGTTGGCGGCGTTGATGACATGCAGAACATCTCTCACCATGCCATCTGGCACAGCGAAGCAGGGGATCACCAGATGCTCGATGGGCGAATGCAGTAGCCAGTTTTCAGCTAGTGCCGATGGCCCAGCAAAGCGCGTGAGACAGGGGAAGGTGAGCTGTGGTATCTTCGAGTTCTCTTCGGCGTTATACGCAAGCAGAATGTGTGTTCCAACAGTGTCGGAGATGGCGAGCGCCTGGAGCGTTGCCTGGTATGGGCAATATACTGTAACATTAATAAACAACATCTTTAGGAAAATGACATGCATAATTTTGAGACAACTTCAATTATTGACAACTTTTTTTTGATACAAGTGGCACTTATATCAAGACAACTTTATACCACATCAGGACAACTTTTGTATGGGACAACTTAGGTTGAGAACAACTTGGCAAACTATTAGACAACTTAGAAAGTGACCGATTTAAGGCAAGGGTAACTTTTCTGGCAGGTGGGTACAACTTTTCCTTGACCTAAGACAACTATTTTTAGTCAATTTTCAGTTCAAGGACAACAACTCATTTCTCTCAGTCAAGTTGGACCAAAAGACAAATTAGTAATTGCTTACTGAATAAGTATCAGGCAAAACTGATTTTTGATAAGATATATACTGGGAGAGAGATTGATCTACATAGGGCTTCACAGGTTCTGGTAGAATGAAGTGGCTAATAGAACAGCCTGACATGGTTTCCATCCTCTGTCAGGGGAACCCCCGCTTCGGCCTCCTTCGACCCTCCGAACGCATCCGAGGCGCATCCGACCGGCGCCCCTCGGACGCTCCGACCCACCCCAACCATCGTCCACAGCCTCCTTCGCCCGCACAATCACCGATCCGTCAAGACCCTCCCAACGATCACCTTGGGACAGAGCTTGCGACACCGCTCAGGCCTTCTGCGCTCTACGCCGGCAGTTACGGACGACCAGTATATAGTTGGCACCCTAGCAGGCGGACACTTAGAGTTTCTTCTCTTTGGATCCTCCCCTGCTAGGTCGGTCCCTCCGTGTATTTCCGTAGCTTCTATTCACGCTTTGGATCCTCCCTGCTAGGCTTTCCTCGGAGTCTCCAGGGTTGCCCTTACATCCTCTGCTTCTAAGTCAAAATCTCATAGAGGTTATTGAGAAAAATACCAGCACTTCATTCCTTCTCAATTATAAGGAAACACTGCCAAATTACATATATTTCTGTTTTTCATACCAAAATAAATTTAAGATGTATTGGCAATACGCAAGTCAAATTGTGTCAGGATGGTCACCACATGGCATCACATGTGGCATCATTAGTCAGCATTTGCGCAGCCTGTGAAACTAAGTTGTACCTGCCCGAATGAAGCTGCATCTTGTATTTTCAAACTTGTACTTTGATTATTTAAAGTTGGCTTGTTCCAGAATCAGAGTTGTACCTTGTCTGTGCCGAGTTGTCCCTAGCCCAAGTTGTTCCAGATGGAAGGTGCCTTGTCAGAATACTAAGTTGCCCACAAGTGCCAATTACTTGTTTAATAAAATTTTGAAGTTTTCTTGAAATTACCCAAGTTTTTATTTCAAACTTGTTGTTTATTAATGTTACAGTATATTGCCCATAGCCTGGTGACGTTCGAGGAATTGCAGAGTGAATTGCGGGGAGTACGGAATGGTGCAAGATCGGAGACGAGGGAACATGATGGAGGAAACAACCATGACAATGGCAACTTGAATGTCTCCTTCAAGTTCGGCGCTGGTGACGGACAACATCTCCACCCACTCTGCTTTCTTCAACGCCTTCCAGGCGAGCAAACATGTCTCTGCAGTGCCAAAGGAGTCATTTTTTCCAAGCGCATTTGGATCCACAGATTTGATACTAGTACTGTTCGCTGATTAGTATTCTGGAAGTGGAATGGAAGATGGGCGAGTTACATGTCAAGTCGCCGCACAAGTCTTACGCAT